CGTAATCAATTTCGGATTCTGTGGCCGATAAGGCTTCCAATTTAATTTTCAAAGGAAATAATCAAATAGATATTCCTACGGCGAATAGATAGAAATTCCAGACCACATATTTTCACATAATGGCACACAAAATTATGCTAAACACATAATCATACTCATTTTAAGGACTAATTAACACATTACGGAACAGGGGTATCACACCTCTTTTGGGCGATTTCTCCACCTCACTCTTTCTTGGGGACCTACGTCGACGTCGGGGTGAACGATGTCTCTCTCGTTCCTCCAACACCACATTGCCCACTCAGGTGGCTTCGTCACCAGCTCTGCAGTTCATTTTCGCGTCCAGTTCCACCAAACTCTTTCCTTCTCCTTTACTATTGAAGAATAACCTGCTAGATATACGATCACACTCTATTCGCTGCACAATGATCTCCCACTTTGTGCGCTGCCCACTCCCTTATTATTGGATACCCCTTTATGGGTAGAGAAATGTCTATTTAACGATGCCCCAGGCCCCATCTGTGTCCGGCGGCCCCTTTATTAATTGCAAGTGCAGTGATTACGATGAGTTGAGACCACCGCAGCCGCAGCCGCCGCATTTATTCAGCGATGGCACTATGTGTTCAATTGGGGCAAAGGTAGATATGTGAATTTATTCAGCTTATCCATATTTGGCTGAATTACATCACTGGCCCACATGACCACTAAAGTTATGTTTTGCTTTGTGCAGTTTTCTTTACTTTGTGATGTATATATTCAGCGGTGACACTATGTGTTCAATTGAGGCAAGGGCAGATATGTGAATCTATTTGGCTTATCCATATTTGGTCGAATTGCATCACTGCCCCATTTAACCACTGAAGTTATGTTTTGCTTTGTAAAACTCTTTTTTCTTTATGTCGTATTTATTCGGCAGTGGCACTACGTGTTCAATTGGGTTAAGGGTAGATATGTGAATCTATTCGGCTTATCCATATGCGGCCAAATTGCATCACTACCCCACTTGACCACTAAAGTTATGTTTTGCTTTGTGCAGCTCTTTTTGTTTTGTGCAGCTCTTTTTGCTTTATGCTTATTTATTTAGCAGTGGAACTACGTGTTCAATTGAGACAAGGGCAGATATGTGAATCTATTCGGCTTATCCATATGTGGCCGAATTGTATCACTGCCCCACTTGTCCACTGAAGTTATGTTTTACTTTGTGCAGCTCTTTTTGCTTTATGCTTATTTATTTGGCAATGGAACTACGTGTTCAATTGGGGCTAAGGCAGATATTTGAATCTATTCGGCTAATCCATATTTAGCCGAATTGCATCACTACCCCACTTGACCACTAAAGTTATTTTTTACTTTGTGAAGTTATTTTTGCTTTGTGCTTATTATCCACAAACCAGCATTTTCAGTAAATCATTAACAGAACAAGCATTTTCATTAAATCATTAACAGAACATGCATTTTCATTAATAAAATGCACACGAACATTCGTCACTTTATCAATGAAAACAGCCCTAATACAAAAAAGAACTTAACAAAACGACTGAAAGTGTAAGAAAAGCAACATAACTCACAACAAACAAAAACGAATGTGAATATCCTCAAAACTCCTCAGGGTTCGACTCTAGGGGTGTGACTTCCAATTGCTCATATGGAATTGGTTGATCAAGAGTCACCTTGGCGGCCACCAACACCTTGAGCCAGCCATGTTTGAAGCCTCGATTTTCAAACTTCAAAGCCTCATCTACATATAGCTCTTTAGCCGCAAGCTCTCCGGCATAAAACGCTTTTGCTGCATCTGCCTCAGCGAGCTCCTGCGCCTTCTTCGCCTCCTTGAGGTCGGCCATCAATTTGGCGATCTCTTCTTTGGCCAACTTCAAGGAGCCGTCTGTGAAGTTTTTCTTTTCTTCGGTGGCTCGCCGAAGTAGATCGGTGTGCTTAGCTTTCTCCTCTTCGGTAGCAGCCCTCGCTCGCTCTTCTTCTGCTTTCTTCACTTTGGCTTTGGCCTTCATTGTCGCCGCCACCAAGTCGACCATAGAAGCTGTGGCCTTGTTTCTTTCCTCTTTAAGTTGGCCTTCCAGCACGCCGAGTTTCTCTACGGCGTCATAATGATGATGACTGATTTCGGCTATCCTTCTCGCCGCCAAACAAACATAATGAAGTAAAGGCACATTACTCAGCATGGAAAGTAAAGATGGATTACAAGTACGTGCTACTTACCAATATAGCCGTTTGAGCCACCAAAACAATTGAGGTCACGTCCGGCTCAGCACGGAATGCAGCTTTGTTTACCAAAAAAGAAAGCGTCAAAGCCATGCTTAAAGCCACGACAAGATCTTTGATGGTTGACTCACTAGTGAGAACCGACGTACTCTTCATCCTTAGTTGGATGATGAATGGCACAGCCAAATCAGATGAGGTCGCCTCCACCCTTTGCCGTTTATCAACCAGTTCCTCTAATGACTCGGCAATAGTCTCGGCGGGTCGTTTCTCACCTCTTTGTTTGGAGCCTAAGTCTTTAGTTTGTTGCTGATCAGGAACCGAATCGGCCACAATAAGTTTGCGAGCTGTTTCTTCTGGAATAGCCACTAGAGAGAGAGCTTCTTGGTCTCCCTAGTACTACCAACTTTCCTTCTTGCCACCATCTTTTCAACATTCCTCCTTCTGGCAAATTGGGCGAGGGATTTTCCGCTCATCTCCTTAGAGTCGGCACCAGGTAAATCTCCTAACTTAGTGAAGATGTCGTCCTCTAGGGAAACAACAACTACTTGGCTGGAAGTAGAGGGATGTCCGTTATGTTGATCGGGGCTGATTTGCTCGAAGGCCAATTCGATTTCCCTGTTTAGTTCCTGCTCTTCTAAATGGCCCTCCAATCCAGCGACTTTGCCGTCTGAACCCTCAAGACCAATATACCTTAAGCTCTTGAAGTTGGGAAATATAAGTGCAATAAGTTGTTGTTCTTTCCTTGGCACTGGGATATGGTCTACACCCGAGAATGTAGAATAGGTCGGGTCGTACTTTAACAGAACGTGAGCGGCGTGCACCTGTCCTTGAAGATTTGCACGCCCTTTGTAATTAAGGACCGTCTTTACTTAGTCAAGAACGGCTTTGTCTGCCGATGTGAGAGCCCTTTTTAAATTGTTGCTTGCACAAAACAAAAAACTGATCAGTGTATAGAATTTAAGCGCTGAACAACTCGTTTAATCAGGAAACAATTATATTCAACCACCTGGCTCGCGCTTTCCATCTTGGCACGGGGTCTAGGCAATCTTCTCCCTCGCCGAATTCCCAATTGCCTCGGACGGCGACCATAACATCGTCAACTCTTTTGTCAGAGCTAGCAAGCATAGTCACCAAATGGTGATCTATGTCTTTGGCTCTCAAAAAATAACGACCCTGTCGACCAAATGATTTCGCTATGACATAACAGTGCCGAATAACTAGGATTCCCAAGTTGATCCCAAGTAGGCAGTTTAGTTCTACTATGTCCATGATTATACGGTAAAAGTTCACATTGGGTTGAGAGGGAATTAGACCCCGGTAACATAGAATAGTCCTAAGAAAATGATGGAGGGGGAAACAAACTCTGCCCTTAGCAATTGACAGAAGAGGAAAGACGATGTTATTTGCTTCAGACCTCTCAATGTCAACCACATTGTCTGCAACAAGGGACAGATGGACGTCGTCTAGGATTGAAAAATGACGACGGAAGGCAACGACTCGCTCCTCAAAGAGGAGAGCTTTCAAATAAGTCGCCATTCAAGACGGAATAGAAGATGTATACTAATAAAAAACACACAAAGGGGACTGGAATGCAAGCAAAAGAGGAAGAGAAATGAGGACTTACAGGTCAGAGTGAAAGAACGATGGAAAGCAAAGTTAAAATCGCAAGAGGAAGATCGGTATGAAGAATGCCAAAGAGCCAAGAGCCTTTTATTCAAAACACACGGAGGGACAACTTTCAAATCCCATTAAATGAGTGTCAAATACGAAGGGGCGAGAAGCAATGATGATTTCATATCGCGTCTGTTTTGACATATCAATACTAAAAGGCGTGCATACGCCGTATTTCTGACTTTCGAGACATTTTTTGATCTATCAACCGAGTAGTATATATAATTGACCGAACATGCCGACTCAAAACATCTTAATTGGATGTTTGGGGGGGCAATTGTAGTAGCCAATTAAGTAAGATTATTTAGGAAGCCCGAAAACTGGCCCATTCAGGAAAAGAGCCATGTACAAATCAGCCAAAATCGGTCCTCCGGCCCATACGTAGGCCGTAGCAGATGAAAAAGGAGTCGAAGACAAGTCGTCCCATGCCAAGTTCATCAGGGAAGGGCCGTAGTCGAATAAAACCAAGTTGAAGGGCCGCCAGAGCCATATATCCCATGGGATATATGGGGGCCCAGGGATGGGGTCAGGGTGTCTAGTGGGCCCCTGAAGAACATTATGAAATGAGAAGTTTCAATCAAAAAAAGGGATATGACTATCTTGTTTGTAGAGAAGAGAGAATTGAGAAGGTCTGTTTGAACCAGAGAGTATTTTCGAATCCATTTCACCACATAGTAAATGTTATACAATTTTTTGATAAAATTATAATAGTTTGTAGTTAAGAATGAAATTACACATTATCTATTATTCCATTCGTCTCGAAATATTAATTCCTTTTGGGAATTTAACTTTTTTTGGTATAATTTTTATTTTTTTGAGAATATCAATTGTCATAATTATATTTTTTTGTATATGAGTTTATAAAATAAAAAAAAGAAAAATAAGAAATTTATGTTATTTTAATCATTAATTTTTTTAAAATAAACTAATATTTTGAAATAATAAAAAATAAAATAAAAAACTAATATTTTAAAATATATGAAGTATATATTTTTTTCGTCAAAATATTTTTAAACTACAAAAAAAATATATATATATATATATATATATAAACAATATGACAAAAATTCATAATTTCATATTTTGTCCATAAAAAATTATGGATCATTGATAAGGGAATGGAGGGGGTTGGTTTCCGGGGAATAGTAAAGTGCAGATTAATATACAAAAGAGTTTGGATAGAGAAATGGCGGTCTCTACGCTATCCATTGTCGTAACACCAAAACCTCACGCCCTCCAAACCTTCAATCCCAAACTCTCTCTCACCTTCAAACCCTCCAATGCTACCTATTCTTGTTCGTCTTTTCGTTGCTCTTCCTCTCTCAATTCTAATTCTCCACCCAACAATGTGAGGCGAGTATTGGATATAGTAGGCCTTGGTCTTTTGGCCTCTTCTGTGGTGGCTTTGTTGCCGTTGGATGCCTCCGCCACCCGAATCGAGTACTATGCCACGGTGGCTGAGCCGCCCTGTGAGCTCAACTTCGCTCGCTCTGGCCTGGGTTACTGCGATCTTGCTGTTGGTTCCGGTGAGGTCGCTCCTCTCGGTGAGCTTGTCAATGTCAGTAATTTTACTCACCAGGACACCCTCAATTTTAACCTATTCTTATTTGCAATTGGAATTTGTGATATTCATACTCTTTTTCTTTCTTTCTTTCTTTTTTATTGCAAGACGATTATCTTTTCAGATTCATTTGCTTGCCTATGCATTTTATTAGCAACTATTATTGTTTAATAGGGGTGAATTTATTAATAATTTTTTTTGTATTTTATATACACTTGTGTCTAAATGTATTCACCTGATATTGGAAACTCTGGTGCTACTAATTTGTACTGATTCACGAACACCGTGACTTCAATCAACCTGAATTTAATTCGTCATTATTAGTCTTCATTTCACGGGTCCAAGCCGTCCAATGCCTACCCTTTCTTACCTTGGGTTGTTGACTCTTTTGAAGTGGCTAATTGCAACATTACTGACCTTCACTATATGAACTTAGACTCTGACAAGTAATACCTCCACATTTCAAGGCAATGTGCCACTCGCTAGAAACTCCTCGAGTGGTGTATCTTCTCACAATGGGTGGCCCTCTTATGCTGTGTTTGGTTGGGAGATTTGGGGAGGAATTTGGCAAGGGAAATGGAAAAGGTAGGTGAAATGTGAATATAATATGTCTATATTTCACCTAGTTTCACACACCTTTTTCCTTTTCCTTTCCAAATCCCTCCCCAAATCCCCCAACCAAACACAGCATTAGAGAAGCACTCCCCCTAGGGTCAAGTTTGAAGCATCCGTTTCAACCTCAGAAAACTTGAATAAATCAGGCAAGATGAGGATAATATCACTCATAATGGCCCACTTCAAATCATCAATGGTTCCCATGCAATCCTCCAACCAATTCCACGCCTTGGTTTCCTTTAGCAAATCTCCAATAGTACCTGACCAATCCTAAAAAAGAGCATAGCTGTAACACGTTAATTGGCCTTGTCATTCTTTAATTACTTTTACCTTGCCTATATTAGATCATTGTCAGTCCCAAAAGCTTAAAATGTTAGGAACGGGGTCAAACAATCCTTATACCTTTTCCCACATGCAACTTTACCTTGCACGTGGAGATGCAATCATCTAAATAGAGATAAACAGAATGAAAAAAGGAAATAAATGCTGATAAGGAGACTTAAACCTAAGATCTCCTCCAATCTAAACTTGGATACCATGTTAAATCACCACTAGCGTCAAAAGTTTAAGTGCCTATGAAATGGGTTAAACAATGCATATCAAGTTGTCTAACATCCTCCCTCACGTGTAACCCTATCTTGCACATGAAAATGCAATCATTCAAACATAGAGAAACACAAAATGATAATAGGGAACAAATGTAGACAAAGAAACTTGAACTCTAGGCCTCTCCCACATCTAAGTTTTGATATCATGTTAAATCACCATTAGTTCCATGAGCTTAAGTTGTTAAGAAAGAGGCAAACAATACATATCAAACTCTCCAACAATCTATGTCCATGTCAATTCACCCATGCTTGATGATGTTCCCGAGGAACTTAATGCGCTTTTGTGCAAAAGAGCACCTTTCTTCCTTGACATTTAGGTGATTCTCTAGCAAATTTTAGAACACTAATCTCAAGTGCTCAATGTGCTTGTCTAGACTAGAGTTATTCATCACTATGTCATCAAGATTAACTACAACAAATTTATCAAGGTAGCCATAGTCATGAAACACTTGATTCTTCAGGGTACAAAATGTGGGGCATTGGTTAGGCCAAACATCACAAGAAACTCAAATGCCCCTAGCAAGTCACACAAGTAGTTGTCACTTTGACCCCCTCCACTCTGCAAACTTGATAGTAGCCCAATCAAAAATTGAGCTTGGTGAACTACTCGGTACGTAATGATGATCATCGAGGTTTGCGATGAGTAGAATGGGGTACTTATTCTTCACTGTCACCTTATTGAGAGTCCTATAGCCTACACATGGCAACTGCCAGCTAAGATGCACTAATACTCCAAGATGGGTGTTGTTCCATCCATGTCTAACACACCACATGGCATGTAAATTTTTTAATTATTATTTTTTTTGTTGAACACATTGGGAACACTTCACGGATAGTCATATCCTATGTTTGGACACGTCTCTGGACACTTTTGTAGAGGGTTTTTTCTTATAATTTTAGAAAATTGATTTGGGGTAACGTGAAATATATGGAAATTAAAAGGGAATAAGTAAAAAAAATAAAATAAAAATACATCACATATACATCATTGCCTCTCTCATATCTATGTATCCTAAATTTATATTCATATACAAAGTAAATAAAAATATTTTTTTTATTGTATTCCCGCTGTATCCGAGAGAATTGCTATCAATAAAAATATTTTTTTTATTGTATTCTTGCTGTAAATAAAATTATATAAAAATATTTTTTACCGTATTCCCAACATGTCCATATCCTAATTTTTTTGTAAATCAGTTTGCCCCTTGCCTGTGTCCATGTCCATGTCCGTGTCCATGTCCGTGTCCGTACTTCTTTGGCTACAAGCTACCGTCATGCTTCTTTTGGGAATAAACACAAGGGCTCCAAGGGTCAAATAAAGCCTGACTCAATTAGCTGCTTCCTCAGCTCTGAGTTTAGGAGGATACATTCTATAAACCCCCCAAACAAGTGGTTTCAACCCTGGAAACAACTCGATCTCATGGTTCGCTGTCTCTTGTGGAGGTAGTGTTTTGGTTAGTTCTTTGGTAAGAAAACAAACTTAATCAATCCTTATCAAAATTGGATTACGGATGTCACGTTCTTCTTTCCAAAACAAGATAGGGAGAATTCCATCACTTACATTAAAATAAACACCAAAACAATACAAAGAACCGTAGTGGGCCTTCCTTTTTCTTATCACATTGCTCTGCTAAGAACATCATTTATTTGTTCTAACAAAGAACCGTAGTGGGCCTTTCTTTGTTCTAACATTATTCTCTTCTTATTCTTTTTCATTTGAATGATATTCGGCCTTATTAGTTATTGAATATTAATGGTTGGTTTTAAATCGGGAACCCTAACAGACTATAGTTTTATTATTATCATTGCTTTGTTATGTGTTATTTTGTTCTGTTTATTTGGATCATGGCATGTTTTTAAATTATTAATATGATATGTAGACATTGGGACACAAGCCTTGGTCTGGTTGTAAGATATGTAAACAGATTACTTCTTGATAAAGTATTCAATTCTTCTGAAATTTTGATAGCTTTTATATGTTGAAAGTTGTCCGATACTTCAGTAAGTTGAATTTTAGGTCGAGATGAATCCTTTGATATTTAAAAACCAGTATTGTAGCAGTAAACATTAGACAAAATGCAATGAATGACATTATATTGCCAGTTGCAATTTTGTGAGAGGTATTCTGTTTTTGTCCATACAGATTCACTACACTGCAAGGTTTGCTGATGGGATAGTTTTTGACAGCAGCTACAAACGAGGTCGACCTCTCACTATGCGTATCGGTCTTCGCAAAGTAAGAGTTCTTTTAAACCAAACTATTGTCTTCTATACATCATGCCACTTAATAGAATGGTCATATTGCTATTCACATCCTAAATTTTAAAAGTTAACCTGAGATCAAAACCACTTGAAGTCTTAAAACACTCTGAATACTCTTCTAGGAAGATTCTCCAAAATTATTAATATCTTCATTCCCTATGTGACATCACCAACATGTTTTATCTGACTACGATATGTGAAATACCTATCCTCTATAGCATAAGAGAACATGGCCTGTGACAATTAAGTTCCATCTTGCTAAGCTGTTTTAACTCTTGCATAAATCCCCACTGCTATATCAATAGTTTTATTTTAGTGCTCAAAACACATTGAAATCACTCCAGATCCAAACCAATTCTATTATCTTCATTTTCATAATGTGTATGTTTAAGTATATGCAAGTATTGTATAATAAATGCTTGCTTGTGAAGTTTTTAGGTGTACGAAACAGCTACAGGACCAACTTTGTTATTTGAACAGAATGATAGGTAGTTAAAATGCAGGTAAACAAATTCATAAAGCTGACCCCAAGTAATTTGGAGAAAGGCTTGTTGAGTTGACTTGAGTTATAAGATGAGTGTAGCAAAACTATGTGTTACTTCCATATCACCAATTGTTTTAAGCAAGATGGTGGAACTTGGTTCACAATATGGATATCGGCATGCATGTGTAGCTAGACAAGAATGGCAAGTTTTAGAAATTAATGCATCTGTGGGATGCTGAAGTGGCACAGAATTGGAGATTAAATGGAAAACATCAACCAAATGGTTTGGCCAACTATAACATAGATTATTAATTACTAAAAATGAATGGTGTGGTCCACAATGAGGGTATGAAAAGGATAATGGGGAGCAAAATGGCTTTAATCAAGGTAGTATGGAAAGACATGGTAGCATTAAAAGGATGAAAAGAATTGTTTTGGCTTACCTATGAATGAGGTAGAGCCTTATATTTATAATGAAACAATATTACAAAATAGGAAACGAAAATAACAAAGGCATTAAATCTGTGATTGACACAATCACAGATTTTATTCATACTACCATAATTACAATATTCACTATTTCCTAATTTAACACTACCATAATTATAATATCACTATTTCCTAATTCCGACACTCCCTCTCAAGCTGGTGTGAAGATATTCAATAAACGCAGCTTGCCGATAGACGATTGGAGTAATGTTGGGCCTACTGACTTGGTGAACATATCTGCTAACTGCTGAGAAGAAGAGACAAAGGATGGTCTCACAATACCAATCCCAACCTTCTCTCGAATGAAATGTATATCAACCTCTATATGCTTAGTACACTCATGTAAGACAGAATCAGAACACAGCATAATAGCAGACTTATTGTCACAAAACAAAGACGCAGGAGCAGTCTCCTCAAATCCCAACTCTGCCAAATAGAACGTAGCCATAGAATCTCACAAGTGCCTTATGCCACCCTATACTCAACTTCTGCAGAAGACCTAGAAACAACTGTTTGCTTCTTACTTTTCCATGATATAAGATGATCACCATAGAAGGTACAGAAGCCAGAAGTAGAACGCCTATCCGTTCTAGTTCCTGCATAGTCAACATCAGTAAAACAGGAGAGTCCAGATTGAGGATCAACTGTGAAAAACAATCCCAGGACAGGAGAGGTCTTCAAATATCTCAAGATGTGATGAACCACATCAAGATATTCTGTACAAGGTGCATGCATGAATTGGCTAACCACACTAACTGCAAATGTCAAGTCTGGTCTAGTATTGATCAGATAGATGAGACGCCTAACAAGACGCTAATACATGCCTAGGTTCTCTAGTAATTCATCAGACTCTAATGTGACCTTGACGTTGGGATCCATAAGAGTAGAAGCAGGTTTGCACCCCAACATACCAATATCCTTAAGTAAGTCAAGAGTGTACTTCTTTTGAGATAAAGAGATCCCTTGCCATGAGCGAGTCACCTCAATCCCTAAAAAATACTTGAGATTTCCTAAATCCTTAATATCAAAGGTGTGTCCCAAATCCTGTTTTACTTGATCAATGCCTATAGGGATATCACCGATAAGAATAATATCATCCACATAAACCAACAAAACTATACACTGACCTGCGAAATTACGACGGATGAAGCACGTATGGTCTAAATGGCACTAAACAAAGCCCATAGAGATGATGACTGAGCTGAAACGACCAAACCAAGCTCGTGGAGACTGCTTCAAGCCATACAAAGACTTGCACAGTCGACATACTTTCCCCGAATACTCCCCCTCAGCGCGAAAACCAGAAGGAGGGGCCATATAAATCGTCTCAAGAAGATCTCCATAAAGAAAGGCATTCTTGACATCAAGTTGATGAAGGGGTCAAGAATGGGATGCGGTAAGGGAGATGAGTAGACGAACAGATGTAAGCTTGGCAACAGGGACAAAGGTAGCACCAAAATCCTTATCAGGACCTTGAGTGAAGCCCTTGGCCACTAAGTGGGCCTTATAACAGTCAATAGAACCATCAGGTAGGTACTTAATAGTAAAGACCCATTTGCAACCTACGGAACTCTCGCCAGAAGGTAAAGGAACCAAATCCCAAGTATGATTCTGTTCTAAAGCTGCCATTTCAGTCTGCATGGCCACCACCTATTTTGAATTCTGAAGGGCCTTGGACACAGACCGAGGAATAGACTCAAACTCAAGCTTGCCAAGGAAAGAATGATATGAGTTTGAAACCCTGGCATATAAGAGAAACTAGGAAATTGAATGATCAGTATGACACGGATAACCCCAACGGTTGGGGGGGATGTTGATCCCGAGGAGGATTACGACGACGAAGGAAAGGAGAAGTATGTAAAGGGAAAGAATTACTTGACCCAAGAGCCGGAGAGGTAGCAGGAGAGGGCTGAGCACGAGGGCGGCGAGAGTAGACCTGTAAGGGAGGGGAAGGAGGCAAAGGTGGAGGATGAGAGGGGGGGGAGGGGGACAACCTTATCTGCAACCTTGTCTAAAATGAGGACCGGGCGAACACTCGGAGTATCAGAAGGGGAAACCTACAAAGGGGGATTAGGACTAAAAAAAGGAAGATCCTCACAAAAAGTAACATCCAGAGTATGGTGAAAGTGACGAGACACAGGATTAAAACGTCTATACCCTTTAGATATGGAAGAATACCCCAAAAAGATACAATCAATAGACTTGTCATCTAACTTAGTGCGAGTGGGACGACGGTCCTGGACAAAACATGTACACCCAAAAATACGAGGTAAAAGAGGAAAAAAGATAGTGTTAGGCATAAGAATATGGAATGGGGTAAGGCCATGTAACACACGACTAGGAGTTCTATTAATGAGATAGACAGCTGTAAGAACATCCATATGCCAATAAGGCTTGGGCACAAGCATACCACAAAGAAGACAACGTACGATAGACATAATATGACGGTTTTTACGTCCAGCCACACCATTTTGTTCAGGGGTCCGAGGACATGTAAGTTGTTGAATAATACCCATTCAATTAAGGTGGGAACGAAACACTTTGGAGATGTATTCCCCACCATTATCAGAGCGGATGTTCCTAACAACTGTATGAAATTGTGTCTTAACCATTTGCAAAACTAAACAAATATGGAAAACACATCAGATTTGTGGTGAAGTAAATAGACCCAAGTGCACCTAGTGTGATCATCAATAGAAAGTCACATAATAACGATGACCTGAGAAAACATAAACAAGAGAGGGGCCCCAAACATCAGAATGAATAAGGTCAAAAGCACTGGGGGCCCCGTGTCATATGTGGTATATAGCTAGTATGGATATGCTTAGACAATTCAGAAGTAACACAATAAAATGTAGAATCCTTGCAAGCTTTATTTAATAGAGGGAAAAGTTGACATAAATATTGAAAGTTGACATGACCCATACGGGCGTGCCATAATTCTAAAGTTTGAATAGAAGAAACATAAGATATAGAAGTAGGCAAAATAGACGCCTAAAAACTGGCTAAAGTTGAAGGCTGGTCCGGTGTATTCCCAAAGTAGTATAGCCAGTCGCGCCTCATATCCCTTGCCAAAAATCCTCTTTGAACTCAGGTCCTATAAAAGACATAGAGAAGGGAAAAAAATAACTACGCAGTTAAAGGTTTTGGCAAGACGATTAACAGATAAAAGATTATAAGCAAACTTGGGAACATGCAACACAAAAGATAAAAGTGATAGCATGGGATAAAGACACAACACCCTTATGTTGGACAAAAGAGCAAAAACCATCAGCAAGACACACAGATGGGGCAACAATGGTGGGTTCAGGAGAGGAAAGAAAAGAAAACTCAACTCACCAGTCATATGATTAGTAGCCCCAGAATCCAAAATCCATAAAGGACTAGCAGACCGAACATGGAAAGCAGTAGAAATACCTGCAGCAAGGGTGGCAGTAGAGGATGATGGACCAAGAGAACCAGTGGTGAGAGACCCAAGTTGAGCTTGAAGCTGACCAATCTGAGTCTGTAGATTAGGGACATTAGGAGGCTCAGAAGCAAGAGTAACTTCCACCAAAGCAGCAGTATGAGCAGAGCCAGAACCATGTGGAGCAGGACCATGAGGACGGAAAGGGCATTGCCTCAATTCAGGATGAAGTTTGAAGCAACGGGTTTTGATATGTCCAAGCGCACCACAATGATGACAAGTAACAAAACCGGTAGAACTTCAAGAACCAGAACTCACAGCAAGAGCCATCTGATCTGCTAAAATTGGAGAGACTGAAGGAACACTAGGCTGAACCAATCGCCGGCGACGCTCATCACTATCAATAGTAGCAAAAGCCTCATAAAGAGATGGCATGGGTGATGTGTTTTGAATTCGAAGAGATTCAAATTTGGAGTTTAAATCCATGAGAAACTAATAAATGTTGTTGGGCAAGCCTCTTGGATACAAGGGAGGCAGCTGTTGGTGGAAAGTCAGTCAAAGGCTCATATTGAGCAAGTTCCTCCCAATAAGCCTGAAGATGTCCAAAGAATTCAGCGACAGAAATGCCAAGAGAGAATTGAGAGGCTCGGGCTATATCCTGGTAAAGCTTGAAGATACGGGCATCATGTTAAAATCCACCTACTCTCCACCTACTTCACCCACTTAAACCTACTCCACTAAACCTAACCCACTACACCACTACCACCTCACCTACTCCACTAAACCTAACCCACTACACCACTACCACCTCCACTTCACCTACTCCTTACCTACTACACACTCACCCTCTTCTATATATAGGAATCATGAATCATTGTAATAGAAATCAATAGACATCTATCAATAATACAATCAATATCTATACAATTCTCTATTTCTCTTTATACATTAAATTTTCTACACATCATTGTGAGCATGAGCGTACATTTGTGACAGTGCATGCCACAAACTCAGAACTGTATCGCAATAAAGGAACATATGGTAAATTTAATTTTCCATGGAATTAAACATCCATCCCAATATAGTGCAGTTATCGATATCCCATTGAGCACGTATAGGGTCTATCGCAGCTGGCAGGGTAATAGTAGATAAAAGCCAATGGACCTTTTCCTTTTCCCCAAGATAGAGTTTAAGGGAATGGCTCCAAGTAGCAAAATTTTTCCTATTCAACACCACACTCGTAATACGATGAACCAACAGGAATAGGTTTGGTGGGTACATCAGAAGAGACAATAAGAGATGGCTCAGTCATGGTGAAAGAATAGGACTGAAAAACACACAAAATCACAGCAACCAAATAATGCAAGAAGCCAGAAAAAACTCAACGGCTTATTCAAATAATTGCTACCGAACAAATCTGGTAGCCCAATGAATCAAGAGAACAAAAAATAAAAGTGCCTAAAACATCAGCACAACACCCCAAGTAGGGGAAAAGGGACCCCGGACCACCCTAGAGGGGTAGCCGAAGCACACAGGACCAGAACAAAGTCTGGTCAGCAGAAAACAGAGCCTCGGCAGGAGTGTAGGAGACCTGCCAAGGGGAAAACAGGGAAGAAGAAGCACTGTTGGGTGGTCTAGAAGGTGTGGGTAGGGCTGTCGGTGGTTGAGAGAGGAAAAAGAAGGCTAGCGGTGGTGATAGGTGGGATTGGATGGTGCCGACAAAGGAAGAGGAGGGCTAGGGTGGCTGATCTTTGGTGCTGATATCAAAAAGGATGAAAATAATTGTTTTGCCTTACCTATGAATGAGGCAAAGCCTTGTATTTATAATGAAACAATATTACAAAATAGGAAACAAAAATAAAAAAGGCATCAAATCTATAATTGACACAATCACAGATTTTATTCACACTACCATAATTACAATATTCACTATTTCCTAATTTAACACTACCATAATTATAATATCACTATTTCCTAATTCCAACAGCATTTAGTCTAACCAACATCCAAAAACAGGTCTTTATAATTTAGATAGAACTAAATGGAAAACAAGATTCCAAAAGTCAATTCTAGATGGCTCCAAGAAGGATTTTTTCTATTTTATTATTAAATTTATGTTTATTTTCTTTATATGGGCAAGAAGATGCAATTGGGTCGAATTGAGATAACAAAGAGGCCTTTCTGATTGTTTGTCATGGTAATTGGAGCATTTAGAGATGGAATAACAGTTGTTTCAGGTAGCATTGAATTGAGTTTATTTACCTTTCTGTATCATTTGGAATGACTATTTTTCTTGCAGTGTTCCACCATTTTAAAATTTAAGGAAATGATAAAGTTCCAACAACTTATTTTTGTAATTGAGGTAACCATCCTCTGTAATGGCTCTATAATGGATGGTGTTATGCCTTAAATGAGATGCCAAACAAAGTGAAATGACTTAATTTTCCATGTATTTTAGAGAATTCTAATAGAATGAGTCTACCAAGTAAAGAAAAATAAAGAGCAAGATTGATTGGCTTATAACCTTAATCAACCAATTATCTGTTTAAGCCACTCTCTCTTTATATAAGTATCATGAAGAGGAAAACAGAAAAATTTTGGTTGCAAATCATAATTGGCATTCCTCCCTATACTATTCATTGTAATTTATTTTTTTATTTTTTTTGTGAGTAGGTGATAAAGGGATTGGATCAAGGAATCTTAGGGGGTGACGGCGTACCCCCAATGCTAGTTGGTAGGACTACGACTATAATACATATGCTTCTGTTGTTGCTTCTTATTGTACTTTAGATTGCACTTTGTTATTTTTACTCAGGTGGAAGACGTAAACTTCAAATTCCACCAAAGTTGGCATATGGGCCAGAACCTGCTGGCTGCTTTTCAGGTGGGTTACCAATGACGGTTTTAGAATAACTGAACTATTTGGCTGGCTCATTTTGACAATGACGAATTGTACTAATAGTCCCTATAATTTGGAGCTCATGTCATTTTGGTTCATAACTTTTCAATTGTGACACATTTAATCTTAAGTTTTGAATCTTGTTCCAAATAAAGACAATTGAAGATATCATTGTTCAATTTCAAAAGCAAAGTTGTCAATTTAATAAAATATAAACTAATTTGACAAAAATAAATGTCAATTTTTTTTTTTTTTTGAATTTTTAAAAATTATTTATACTCACCAAAAATAAAATTTTGTAAAATTGATAAATTTTTTATATATTATTTATGATTTTTTTTTACTAAATTATTTTTTATTATGTGTTTGGATGATGATCGTTTAATGAGTGGTTGTTAAGCTTTTAATATGTAATCGATATATTTAATATATAAAATGACTAGTGCACACTTTCACCACACTGCTTAAAGCATTAATGCTCTATTGGGTTCACTAGAATAAAGTGGAATGGAATGAACATTCCATCATAATATCCAATCTCATGTTTGGTTCAACAACAAAATGATGAAAATTGTATTACAAATGGAATCATCATTCCACTATTACAAGGGATAATCATTCCATAAGGAGACTAAGGAATGTCCCTTCCATTCCATTCTATTTTATTTCAATAAACCAAGCATCACATTAGTGTGTTTTTATTTCTTTGTGAAAGAAACATAATGCACTAGTCAGTTATTACTGCTACAGTTATAAGTTCTCTCTCTCTGTCATTACATAGGGGACTGCAACATACCTGCGAATGCAACTCTTGTGTACGACATCAACTTTGTTGGCATCTACAAGGGAAATAGGAAGTGAAGGATGTCCAATTCATATGATAGCGAATATATGACAAACCTGGGGCAATGTGTTCCAAGTAAGTCTCCTGACTGCTTATCCTGGGAATAAATTTTCAAATTGTTAGAGAGACCTTGAGATTGGATCTGACTAGTTAAACTTCTATAACCACCTTGCCCATTGTGCACTTATTTGCAAATAGAAAGATCAGGACCTCATAATAAGTTGGTCCAAGATATCTACATACTGGAGAGGGTAAGCATCAAAAACCCGAGGCCTCAATATTTTAAACGTATGACTAATCTTCCCCAAAATTTTGATGAGGAATAGCTTAATCCTTGTCGTACAACATTTAAATGGGGGGTGAAATTGACTATTCAACAACACAAAGCAACCAATTTCAAAGCAAGATGAATGGATGGTCCTTCAAAAATTAAATGGAACCATAGATTAGATGTGATGGTGAAACTTCAACCTAAAAAGAGGTCCATGTCTTTTCTGGGAACAATGGCGAAGGTTTTTATAATATTCTGTGGCAATAGAAAATTTGTTTTGTTGATCATTTGATATCACGACGAGGGTAATTAATTGTTTCTTGCGTTAGTGGCCAGTCTTGGATATCTGATTTGTAAAATATCATAATTCATGATGTTTATTCTAGTTATGGAGACTTTTAGCCGTCTGTTGTCTATGGCTGTGCATGAAGGTTTACTATCAGGTTTCACGGTGGGATCACCTATGGGGTCAGCGATTAGGGTGTCTCATTTGTTGTATGCAGATGATGCTTTGGTGTTCTGTGATGCGGAGGTGGCGCAATTGGGATTCTTACGATGTGTCCTGGTCTATTTTGAGGCAGTCTCAGGTTTAAGGATTAATTTGAGTAAGTCAGAGTTGATTCCGGTGGGGGAGGTTGGGCAGTTGCCAGTTTTGGCGGCGGTTTTAGGTTACAAGGTGGCTACGTTACCGGTAACTTACCTGGGCCTACCGCTGGGTGCTAGTTTCAAGGCAAAGGGGGTGTGGGATGGCGTGTTGGATCGAGTTCAACGTCGTTTGGCGGGCTGGACGCGGCAATATTTGTCGAAGGGCGGTAGGTTGACGCTTATCAAAAGTGTGTTGAGTAGTATTCTGACTTACTTTATGTCTTTGCATGTTATTCCCGTTTCTGTGGCTGCTCGGTTGGAGAAACTTCAGAGGGATTTTTTGTGGGGGGTGGTGGGGAGGATTTTAAATATCACTTGGTGGATTGGGGGCGGATTTGTCAGCCGAAGGAGGTGGGTGGTTTAGGAGTGCGGAGTTTGGTGGAGTTTAATATAGCTTTGTTAGGGAAGTGGCTGTGGCGGTTTGCTATAGAGCGGGGTTGTTTATGGCGAAGGGTGGTGGCTTCTAAGTTTGGAGTTGATGTGAGGGATTGGCAGTCGGGGGTAGTGAGAGGATCTCATGGGCAGGGTTTGTGGAAAGGAATTTGCTTGGGAAAGTGGGAGTTTTGGGAGGGGGTGACTTTTCTTGTAGGTACTGGGGAGAAGGTTAGATTCTGGCTCGATAAATGGTGTGGATCGTTGGCTTTGGCGGTGCGTTTCCCTTTAATTTTTAGCATTGCCAAGGATCGACAGGCCACGGTTGCTTCTTATTTGGGGACAGGGGAGGTGGTGGTTTGGGATATCCAGTTTCGGCGTGAAGTTCAGGATTGGGAATTCAATCAGTTGGGGGAGTTATTCGCTTTTCTGTATGGGTTGGGTTTGTTACGTAGAGGAGAAGATGGGTTGGTTTGGAATGTGGTGGGTGCTAAAGGTCAGTTCTCTGTTCGGTCCTTTTATCGCTGTTTGGTGGGGGAGGTGGGAGCTGTGTTTCCTTGGCAGAGTATTTGGTTGCCTCGAGTTCTTTCTAAGGTGGTGTTCTTTTTATGGACAGCTGCTTTGGGCCGCACTCTTTCTATTGATAATCTGGTTCGTCGAGGGCATGTGTTCGTGAATCGGTGTTGTATGTGCTGTGTAGATGCGGAGACCGTTGATCACTTGTTTCTTCATTATTCTCTTACTTCTCGACTATGGGGGTTGGTCTGTTCTCTTTTTGGGATTACTTGGGTGCAACCAAAGGGGGTTGTCGACATGTTGTGGAGTTGGAGGGGGGCCCGAATTGGGAGATCTCGGCGACGGGTGTGGTCGTTGGTGCCTTTTTGTTTAATGTGGTTGGTCTGGCTGGAACGAAATAGGAGAATCTTTCAAGGCCTTCAGCGTTCGGTGTCGTGGTTGGAGGACCATTTCTTGGTTACTTTGTTTAGTTGGTTGGAATGTAAAGTGGATCCGGATATATTTTCTTTCTTAGATTTCTTGGATGATGTAATTGGTTAGGCGAATTTTGTTTTCTTCCTTTTGTTGTCTTGGTTTTGTTGCATTTTCTTGATGCTTTCTCTTGATGCTTTCTTAATAAAGTTATTATTTATCAAAAAAAAAAATAATTCCTGACCGTTATTGATATTCACTCTACTTTATTGGCACATTTTCTGTTGTGTGACTTTCACCACCCAACATGTGCCACATCTTGTTGTACAATGCTGAAAACCTCATCCTTCTGTTGAGTACCCAGATTACATCACTTCCATGTGAAATCCACATCACGTAGATATGACTGTAGTATGGCACAGATGCTACAAATATGCATGCAGTAGAGAACGGTTTTACAGTGGTCCACTTGAGAGATCTCTTATGTTAGAATGACCTACATACACACGTACACTCGTTTGGTTGTGTTTTCATTTTCATTTTTCTGTTTTTATTTTCCACAAAAACAGAAGTCTTGTTTGGCTAACTGTTTCCAAAACAGTTTCTGGGAAAACTTTGTGAAACACAAGACCACCTTTTAGGAGGCACCAAAAAGTTTTCACAAATTTCTAATAACTATTTTTGCACAAATATGAAAATGATGGGGTGTTTTCAAAGTTTTTATTGCTTTGTTTCCAAAAAAAAAAAAAATGAAAAGCAAAAACAAAGAAAATGAAAACACAACCACCAAATAGACCCATTAGTTTTGGTCCCAATATCATTTAGGACACATTCAAAGAGTGCCTCTCAAATACTTGATGATTATGTTAGATAGCAGCCTTGTAATGATATTTTGCTAGTATTGCATTGTGTGATAGAATTTGCCTGAACTTGGTTTGGTTTTGAAGGTCTGTGGAGCAAAAGAGTGAAGAATAGTTACCAAGTATAGATTGCAAGGTAAGCCATAATATCATGGCTGACAGAGCAAGTCACCTTTTGTAAGAAGAATGAGAGAAGTGGTTGTTGCTTGTCAACTCAGCTTGATTGCTTGGAACAACCATCCTCAATTACGTGTTAGAATTTAGCTCATCTTCATCTTTTGTATTTTGTAATCGTGGATCCTCCCAAATTTGATTATGCTACAAGTTCTTTGATTTTCCTCAAAATTATTTAATGATCTTGGACTTGCATGTCATTTTTTTATTTCAACCACTGATGATCAGTCATTTTGAATAAAGTTAAACTCAAAATCTCACCTTTCAAACTAAAGTACCTTTAAAGTAAGTCCTATTTTATTCGAGTAATACTACAAACCCACCCTTATCAACCTAGAAATTACTCGGAAATTAATTTTCACCACACCTCGCATAGACTTCACATCAACTCTACACTACACAGATTAATTTTTACCACATAATCATCCACTTACAAAATTCTGAGTGAATAAATCTGGGTTACCAAATTTTCCTATTTTGTTCTATGTGACCTACCATAAGGGGTCATGATCAAAATGAGGTGGTGATCCAGATCACTAAATAATATTTAACTTTGAGATAGTTATAGGTGAACTTCACAATTTTCAATAGAAAAAATCAATAGACAGGGTGGGATCTGTTTGCACCTGGTCTAAGATTTTTGTTCTTACCTTATAATGTTTTGCATAACCAACCATTAAATTAAATCTCCTTCTTGTGATTATTATGCTTTCCGCTTTTCAAATTTATGGGAGATGGAGAACTATTTCATCCGTATAGCTCTCAAAAAATATAATTAATACTAGATATTCAAATGCAATATTATGAATGGCAAAACTCTCCATCACTTATCTTCTTGAGATTTGGAGTTATGAATGTTAATAAGAAGTAAGATGTACCAGAAGTCATGGAGATATGTAAGAACAAAAATTAGTATCACACATTCTTTCCTACTTGATCTTTGTAATTCTTATTGCGGAGCTGCTGCAGAGCTCTAATTAGAGCTTCTACAGTATAGTTCTAATGAGCTGTCCAACAATAAAATAAAAAATAAAAAATAAAAAATAAAATAAAAAAAACAATGAAGTAAACGGAAGTGTGGTAGAGCTCTAATTAGAGCTGCTATAGTGCAGTTCTAATGAGCTGTCCACCTATAAAAAATATATATATATATATATATAAAAATAGTGAAGTAAAAGACAAAAAATGGGGAGAAGAAAAAGACAAATTAGAACTCCATTAGAGGTCTTTTTTTAGAGGTCTAAATCATTTTTCTTCTTGTTGTATCAATTTTACCTTTCAATTTTTTATTATGTAACAATTCAGTCTAATTGATAACGTCTCTTTATAAATTGGACTCTCAATGAGCAATATGGCCTATCCATTATTCTAAAAAAGATTCATGGGTTAGTCTTCAATTTGAAATAGTTCATTCCATTTTAAAATGGATTATTTTACTCTTAATTTTTATCCAATTTCTTAATGAAAGTTATCAATTGAATTAAATTGACAAAATATATTTAAAATAAATTAAATTAAATTAAAATTGTCATAATTGGAACTATTAGAACTAGATTGATACCACATAAATTAAAGAAACGATGGGTGTAATTTTTTATATAAACTAATTGGAATATATATTTTATTTTGAGAAGGATTATATCAAACTAAACAATTAAAATCTAACAATAGCTAAAAAAACTAGTAGGAATCAAGCCAACCAGCGCCAGCAACTTAAATTTGGAAGAAATAGACTACTTATAACTCTCTCATAATAGAAAAAATAAATAAATAAATAAACTTCATCAAACATCTCAAAAGTACATGATATGTTACAATCTAGTTCATTTTTAGCCCTAGCATTATTGTCATTTGAAATCAATAATAGAAAAATAGATATTTCTATACTCTTACAAGAAGTTGCAATAAAATCAAATGATTAAATACACACGATTCGAAAATATGCATTTTGGTCTCTAATTCCTAAATTTTGTTCATTTTTTGTTTGTGAAGTTCTAAAAATACATCTCTTTCCCATTATCAATTTCAAACGGTGTTGACGTGATGAAGAATTAAAATATAACAAATGGGGTACTTTACTTTAGAAACTAGAGTGAGTTTTTTATAAAATAAAAAATAAATAAAAACTAAGTATAACGAATCCCATGTATTGGAGATCATTAATATAATTAATCCTAAATAAAACTATCCAAATACTTGCCACGAAAGAAGGGAATTACAATTCTGGGCTGGTTTAGAAATTAACTTTTTTTTAGTAGTTTTTTAATCTTTTACATAAAAGACGTATAAAAAATAGAAGAATGAATTGATAATTTATAATAATTTTTTGACTTTTTAGTTAAAATATTTGCTTCCAATCAGTGTAATAAATCAAAAGTAATTACAGTGGATGGAGGGTGCAACTCTTTCTGTGGGATTCTTGAGCAAAGAAAGTTGCACCTTTCATATTTGTGTAATTATTTTTAGGGGAATGCACTAATAAATTCCAAATTAATAACTTATACACTGTTTAGTCCTAAAAGTTTTCTTATAGACTGAAAAGTCCCATTACAGTGTTTCAAACATCAGATTAATGTTTCGAACATTAGATTTCGGACATCAAATTAAGTTTCGAACATTAGATTTCAAACATCAGATTAATGTTTCAAAAATTAGATTGATGTGCAAATGGGACTAAATGATTCAACTTATGGGTAAATTTTCCTTATTTTTAACCTATTACACTGAATTGTAATTCCTCCTAAAAAAAAGAGCCTCTGATTGGCAACCTTCATCTTCTTATATTTTTCCACCATTACTCCTTTGAAAAAATATCATTTTACTCTTTAAATTATCACTCAAAAATAAGTTTAACCATTGTTCTTTTAGGATCTGTTTGATAGCCATTCCATTTTCAATTTTCAGTTTATATTTATAAAAATTTTAAAAACTGTCATAAAAACTTATTTGATAATTTTTTTGATTTATAAATGGTTGCCTCAGTTTATAAATTTGAGGAAAAAACGTAAACTCAAAAAATGAGTTTACGTTTTCAGTTTTCAATTTTTTTTTTCAAATAATTTTTTTTTCAATTAACTTTTTTGAATTAATTTTTTTTTCAATTATAATGTGTGATCCCATTGTCATAAATAATAAAAATAAATATAAATATTTTAGACCTAAACAAACATATTTTTTAGTTTATGTTTTTAAAATTTTTTAAACATTTTGTTCAAACCAAACGCGTTTATAATTTGTGTTTTTCTAAAAATAAACAAAAATCAGTTTTGTGTAAACATAAACCAAAAACGTAAACGTTACCAAACGCTACCTTAATAATATAAATTTTATACTTAAATTATTCAATTTTGCATCAATTTTACTCTCGCCATCAATTGTCGTTTATAATCAAACAAAAGTGTAGCTTTCGAGCTTCATTTGAAATTTCATTTTATCAATTAGACCCCTAAATAAAATGAAGTTTTGGGATCTAATTAATATTTTAGAGATAGTTTGGGCTAACATAAAATTTTAAACGAAATCTCAGTATCACATCAGTAATTTTTGTTTGATTATGAATGGCAACTAACAACAAAGGTAAAATTAATTTAAAATTAAATAGTTTAGGTGTAAAATTAATGGAACGAATTATACTAACGGTCCATATAGTTTAAGGCTTGTGTCACTTTAGTCTTTGACCTTTCAATAGTGATACATTTTATCCTAAATTTTGAATCTCGTTCTAAATAAAAACAATTAAATACACAATTTCATTTGCAAACAGAAAATACTACATTTCTATGGCAAAGTCATCAATTTGATAAAATATAAACTAGTTTTAACAAAAATAAATGCTAAAAAGGTAATTTTGAATTTTAAAAAATTATTTTTACACACCAAGTATAAAATTATATAAAAATGATAAATTTTTTACTTCTTTATTTTTTCTATTTTTTTACTAAATTAATTTTTAGTTGTATTTGAATGATGATTATGTAAAAGGTGGTTGTTTTGTTGATTTTTTTTTTTTTTTATAGTTATTATGGAATAAATGGTTGTTTTGTTGTTAACAAATTTTTTAGATGGTTATCACGTAATTGATGGTTATTAAGCTTTTAATGTATAATCGATATATTTAGGAGTTGTTTGGGATGACCTAAATAAGTGTACTTTTTATCTTTTTACGAAAAGATATGCAAAAAAGTAGAGAGGTGATGTGATGGAAAAAAGATAAAAAGATGGATTATTTATGAGTTGCCAAACTTGGCCTTAATATATGAAATATTTTTAGGTTTGAATTTTTGGATTTAATGGATTGGTTTAATAATGACATCAAAGTTGTCACCGTGTTTGACTTTTAGAAAACTAAAAACTAATTTAACGAAAATAAATATATAAAAATTATTTTAAAAAAATATTTCTACTCACTCGAAAGATAAAATTATATAAAAATGATATGCTTTTAATTTTTTTCACCAAATTAATTTTTAGTTTCTTAGAAAAAAATTTTGAAAATAAATTATGAAAACCAACCAAAAAAGAAACACATTATTCATTAAAAATATATGTCATTACATTTCAAACAACATACAAGTTGACTAATACAAAATAAGTTGTACGACGACTTTGTCTTTAAAATGGACCATTTATAAAGGAAATATATTTGATTGTCATTGTGCTTGTTTGAAACAAGATTCAAAATTTAAGGTCAAATATCACAATTAAAAACTCATGAATAAGTGACACCAAACTACAGGGAGTATTAGTGTAATTCATCCAAATTAATATTATTAAAAAAAAAATTGAATTGATTTTCAAGTGATAGTTTGAAGGGCAAAATGAAATTTTCTTTAATCTTGAAGGCTAGGTTTGGTTAGGTTCAAACTAGTGAAAAGTAAGCCCCAAAAAAAAAAAATAATAATAATAATAATAATTTTTTTGAATAAATATATAAAAATTATTTTAAAAAGATATTTCTACTCACTCGAAAGATAAAATTATATAAAAATGATATGCTTTTAATTTTTTTCACCAAATTAATTTTTAGTTTCTTAGAAAAATTTTCCGAAAATAAATTATGAAAACCAACCAAAAAAGAAACACATTATTCATTAAAAATATATGTCATTACATTTCAAACAACATACAAATTGACCAATACAAAATAAGTTGTATGATAACTTTGTCTTTGAAATGGATCATT